GATACAGCACCTAAATGGTGCGGATACTCTGACCATTCAGTGCACTACAGTCTAGCTGATTCATGTGGAGAGGGTGAACATTCAACACCCAACAACATCTCAACAATGTCCTTCATGCCATCTGTGACTCCGGCTGGCTAATGTTTGATTCACCTGCAGCACTTCTGTTTTTATCTTTGTTTGATGTCACACAGCCCCAAAAATCAGCTAAATGGAGGAGCTTGTTTCAAAGACTTTGACTCAGAAAATAGCTATTTATTTTGTCAAATTATAAAGGGATGAATCAAATCTCAACATTCATCTACCTGGACATCCAGATTATAGAAAATGTTCCAATACTTCAGGAGCTGCAGTAAACTTTCAGTCTTCTGTTGTATTAAACAGGCATTTATGATTATCTGATTTAGGACATTATGTTTAATAATTCTAGCATGTACTAAAAAATTAGGATTAAATGCATTTTTGTATGTTTCATGTCTTTGTGAACAAGCTTCAGAAAACCATGAACCTTTTGACATTTTTAATAAAACATAAGGGGCACTACGTATAACATCTGTGACTTTTATTGAGTTTGTCTACTGAATGTGAAATGTGATTTTGTTTATTATTGTCCTTTAAGCATATAATATTACAAAAAAATTATATATATTTTTAATTTACATTTGCTCTTAAGATTTTAAAGGACTCGGTAGAAAATAAAATAAATTAAAATAAAATGAAACAAATTCAAACTTTGCCTTCTGATCCTGCACAGCCTCATCCAGTTAGTGCAGGAATGCATGCAAAATATAAATATGTAAATCAACAAATAAATAAACAAACAAACAGCAAGATATGCAGTAGAATCTATATATATATAAAAAAAGTAAATTATAATAAAATAATTTGAGCTGATATAACAGTAACATGTAGAAAAGTATTTTCTGACTCACTGCAGTGTTTTTTTTTTAACTCTCTTGTTCCAGAAACTCTTAGTGAATAATTACATTTATATCTAAACTATCTTGGTTAATGCAGTAATAAAAGCAGTCTGTGTTTGTATAATTACATGGCTGAGTGCCTTTTTGTTTTGGTTTGCTTTGCAACGTCACCCAGAAAGCCTCAGAAAAAGCCGCACACTCATCAGATGAGTCTGTCAGGTGATCTGACAAAGTAAGACTTTGCCTGGAACAACCTCAGAGTGAAATCTGTGCCACTGATGTTATCACGCTGCTCAGAGCGATTCCTTTTCCTGTCAAATCTGAAGAGGCCAGAACAGATTCCAGCGTTAGACTCGTCGTTCACATGCAGGTCTGCTGCTCTTTGTGATACACACCTTTGTCTGTTTTGGTTCATATTTCATTTAGTTCTTACCTCCTTTATTTTAACAGATGAGGAACATCTGTTGGCTTTACCTTGTGTGAACGCGCTCGGTGTGCACATAGGGAAAGAGATCCAACAGTCCTGAACGTGCTGACATGCTGGTTTGGAGGGCGTGGTTCCTGAAAGGACACCAGTGTATTTCAGTTTGAGTGTTATTGCCAAGTTATATTAATATAATGCTTATTTTACTTTACTTTACTACCCTTTTAAGTCAAACTGTAGCGAAGAGTTTAACGACCAGAAGTTATATTCCTACATTCCTACAGGCAGTCACTGATAGGATTGTGTGATTTTGTTTCGTACTACGAGTTGAATGTTTGAGTGTAACATTCTGCTCTGACGTGCTGGACAGAGGACAACCGCAAAATGTCTGTTAGTCCAAGCGTGAGGTTGACACATGGATTTAATAAATCCCATTTGCATTAGCTTATTAATTAGTGTTGCACATCATCACCGCATGGCACATGCCCACGTGCACACATTTGAACGCATTCTCACGCAGCTTAAAAAATAACGTTTACAGTTTTTACACCAAACTCCTGCATTTTGTCCCATCCGTGTGTTATTTTCTCTGGATAACCGCCCCTTCCATGAAAATTCAAGTTGTTTCATATGCATTATAAATAGCTGCCCCGTGATTGGACAAGGCTCGATTCTCCTGCAAGCTCTTCCGTATAGCAACAGTCCCCCTCCCCTCCCATCTCTTCGTCGCCCCTCTTTTCCCTGGAATCTCCCTCCCCTCCTCCTCCTCTGTCTCCTTTCACCCACCATTTCAGAAAAAGATACAGATAGACCTTTATGTGGCTTCACCAGCGATACCCACAATGCACTTTGGTGCTGCTGCTACTGGATTCAGTCAGAAGTGGCAGTTGTCTGTTTTGTGTGTGTGTGTGTGGGGGGGGGGGGGGTCCCTCGGTCCCTCTCTCCTCCTTACCTCCATTTTTCCCCCTAAGCTTGGCTAGCCACACACACTCTAACACACACACTGGCTCTAACTGCTGCGACAGCATCTGGATGAGGTTGCCATGGTAACAGCAGTGGGCCTGACCCCACCTCCTCTCCTTCTCTCTCTCTCTCTCCACACTGTCTCCTTTATACACAGACAATGCTGCTTCCTCTCCTACCCCCCACCCCCCACTTTCTCCTTTATTTAAGCCTTCCCCCCCCCCCCCTTGGCCCGACTGGCTGAGCTTCCTTGAAGCTTGACCTGGATACTGTTTGTGCTCCCACAGTGATGACATGACAGCACCGATGATGCTGAGAGACACAGTCAACAGATCCACTTCCTGTATTTTGTTGGATCAACACCCCCCCCCCCCCCCCCCCCACACACACACACAAAGAAAAAAAAAATACCTCCTTTTGTTGCTTTTCCTATTATCTCCTGTTCCTTCCACATCCCACCCACCCCCTTTTTCTTGCCACCACTCAGATATTTCTTTCATTATTTTTCTTGTCCCACCCTCCTTCTCTTAATTCTCCTCTTCCACTAAACTCCTCCCCCAATCAGTTCCTTCATTCACTTGCTTGAAGCTCCTTACTCAAGTGATTCAAGGAAGAGGTAAAAAAGCCTCCTTCATCACTGTAGCCCCCATTACACCCTGAATTACCATGCAAGTCGCCCTTTCCTCCTCCTTCAACACAAATCTTTTGTCTTTCTTTTCAGCCAGTTAGTTAAACAAAAATATCATATTTGAGAAGTCAGAGGTTGCTTCCTTTTCTTGTGTTTTACGTCACATCGGTGCATGCAGCTAGCTGTTAAATCCAAAGTATTTTATGTGAATATCCGTTCTCTTGGCTTTCTTGTCTGGCAGCAATGTGCACACATGGATTTATAGACCCACACTTTGCCTAATATGAGTCACAGCCATCAGTCATTCAAATGCACGTTTACTCTGGACGGGGAAAATAAAAGAAGTGAAAGCAGTGATGAGGACCGCTCACTCATCACATAACAAACACATCAACAGTGCAGACTTTTCCTCAACATGTTTTTTTTTTTTTATCAAGAACATGATTTTTTTTTTTTTATCATAATTTTTTTTTTAGGTTACATCTTTTTTTTTTTTTTTTACTCGTTAACTGATTCAACTGTAAAATCAACTCATTCAGTGTTTTGTTTTTTGCCGCCCGAGTGCTTTTAAGCTGCTTGCGTCACATTTGTAATTTATCCAGGAAGCTCAGCTAGCATTTTGTGGAAGCTGATGGGATTTCAAAAATAGAATGACTTTTTTTGCATGCAAAACACAAACAGGAGAGCATTCAGAGCCCAGAAAAAAAAAACCAGCCAAGCATTTATGGATTTGTAGGTTGAAATAAACAAACACACACAAAAGGCAGATAGGATTATGGAAAATGGATCTTTTGAACCACTGTAAACAGTGTTTGTGACGTGAATCAGAATTAAAAACACGTATAAACGTAGCAGGGGGGCTGGGCAGTGATAAAGAGGAGGCAGACGATCACAGCTGATGCATATTCCTTAAAAAATTAGAGGCTGAGAGGTATTTATTTTGATTCATGATGCACTTCCTCGGGCGGTTGAGGCGAGCTGGTCTGGGAAGCTCAGTCCTCACCTCCTTCTACAGGTGTGCAGTGGAGAGCATCCTGTGCTCCAGCATCAACGTGTGACATGGAGGCTGCACAGCTGCAGAAAGAAAAGCTTTACAGAGAGTGGTGAAGACTGCACAGAAGTCTATTGGAGTCAGCCTCACCACCATCACATACATCTACACCTCCAGATGCAGGAAGAGAGCCAGCCAGCTGCATCATGAAGGACCACACTCATCCAGCACACACACTTTTTGCTCCGCTCTCCTCAGGCAGGAGGTTAAAGAGCATTAAGTGTAGAACCATTAGATGGGCTATTCAAGAAAATTGCTCAGGGGCAACAGTTTCTGAAAGCCAACAGCTAGGGGGGCAGACATCCAGCTATTAAAATCATTATGTAAATAAACCAAAGTTTACAATTGTTTATTTTATTGCATTGAATCATAAATGCAATAAACAGAACCCAAAACCAAGAACCAAAAAATATATATATATATATTTATTTTTTAATGAAGTGGGCCGGATTGACCCGTGGGCCGCCAGTTGAATAGCCCTGCACTAGACTGAGGAACAGCTTCTACCCTGAGTTTGTTAGACTCATGAATCTCTAACCAGAATAATCACTGTGGGGAAAAAAATCACACCATGCTGCTGATTTATTTCATGTTGCTGTGTTCATTCATCCTCATCTGCTCACACAGACTCATGTTCGTGCTGCTGTTCAGCGTATTGATTTTACACTACTAGTGCTTAGCGTATTTTTGGTTAACGTTTTTCTTAGTCATATCTTAGATCTTATTACTGTTTTTCTTTCACATTTTATACTTCTGTTGGATGGAACTGGGACCCTGTGTACACAATTTCATTCCACCTCATGTACCACATGTGGTGGAATGACAATAAAGATCCTTGAATGGCCTGGAGGCAGGGAAAGTAACATCTGTAGAGGAGTGTGACATTATTATAATTCAATCTGTTCACAACACTTAGACTCCATCATGGTTTATCTAGTAAGGTTAATATACCCCCCCCCCCCCCAATCACCCTCCTGTAAAACCTCCTGTTTTCTGGACTTCTCTGTTTTGCAGTAGAGCTCGTGGACCAGCAGAGGGTGCTCAGGACAGGCTGCTTGGTGTCAGGGGTCCACACACCACCCATCAGACGGAACAGCAAGCTGGCCACCCTGGGGCGAATCTTCAAACCCTGGAAGTGGAGAAAAAAGAGAAATGAAAAGCTGAAGCAGAGCTCCACAGGTACGGCGGGCGGTGTGTCAGAACTGATGGCAGCTGCAGATCTTTTACACTCGTGTGATTGAATTTGTCCTCAGTGGTTTGAATGAATTCAATTAAAAACTAATGAGGAGGTGTGGGCGAAGTCAGCTGTTTGCAGCTGATTAATTCTTTGTCAGTTTATTATAATGAGGATAACATGATGCAGACTCGCTGAAGTCACATACAGTGTAAACACTGACAACAATGTTAATTATAACGATTAAAACATGAAAAGAAGTGAAACACTAAAAAAGAATCACATTTACATTTTGTTTGTGCATCTTTTTTAAACTTCTGCTTGTTTTGACCTTTCAAAAGCAAGATCATAAAAGTCAAGTCATCAAGTGGCTCATATAAATAGAAAATCTGATCACACTATTGAAATGCAGTGTGAATGCTTATTGCTGAAGAACTTGATGAAAACTTCTGAAATTAGCTAAAAACATGTTGAAATGTAGCTGTAGTATGTCATATACTGGATATATTCATACATTTCACGAGTTCTTCATTTTTCTGACTGTGTAGCATGCGTGCATTGAGTTTAACAGAAATGTAACGAGAGACGTTATTTATCTTTGACCCATCAAAATGAATGCGGTCATTTATTTGCAGAATCAAAGTTTAACATCAAACATTTACATTAATTTGGCAAAATATGAAAACAATAACATGGCTAGTTTCACAGGAAGTGGGACAATACGGCGATTATCCTCACTTCTCAGCAGAACAGTAGACATCAATCACACGGCGGTGATTGAGAACTTTGCTTCAGACATTTCTAAAATATCTGTAATGATTTTAGGAGAAAGGAGAGTTTAAGATGGAAAATGGAGATTTATCTTACAGAGAGATGTGTGAGGGAATTTATCTGTTTGACCAGAAACGTGCACGCTCCTTCAGATCTCAGCTTGGCCACGGTACGCTTGGTCGAAGTAGAACTTTTACCTGGTTGATGATATGTCAGGTCGGCGTGAAGTCCTTCTTTTGACTCTTTCAGCGTCTCCGTTGAGAACAGCTAAAATACTTCGAGAGTCGTGCGAGGTTATCCAAACAGAAGTTATAATTCCCAAAATCGTCCCTGCATTCTGGATTCAAGAACTCTGAACTCCTTCAGAGCTCTACTCCTTTAAGCTCTTTTCATCTCGTCGCGTCTCTCTTCGACAGAGACTCGACACAGACATCAGACCTTCTTTTGACACTTCTCCATGAGCTGCATCCGACAGAACTCCAGAGAACCGGGAAGTTGCCACATTTAAATGGGTTCGACTTCCGGGTCATTTGAGAGCTTTCTGATTCGTGGATGGACCAGAACAGAGGTGTGGTTTGTGATGTAAGGTGTTATCAAAGTCAAGGACAGAGATTAAGTTTGTTTAAAACAGACAGAAAGATTATTGGAGAAAACCAGACTTCGTGGAGTCAAACTCTCCTGTATCTTCTGTAAAAGTTAAACACGACATTTCTTTTCAGTAAATTTTTTAGTTGACCGAAACCTGAACTTTACCACACTTACAAACTTGCTCATTGAAGACAGAAAAATCAAGAAATGCATATTAACCTGATTTCTTCTTTGAATGAGGAATAAAAATCATTACTTACTGTTTATGTAAATAAAAATGAGTAGTTCTCTTCAACCTGTAAACATTGAGTGAACTAACACACTTTGATTATCAAAACATTTGTAAAATAGTAATGATCACAGAGAATTGTCTTTTCTACTTGATTAATTCAAGAAAGAAAGTCTCAGGATGGGTCAAACTGTATTTCTGGATGCAGATCAATGAAATAACAGTTTCTGTCCCACAAGGTTCTTAAGGTCAAGTGTTTTGACCTTAGGCTTAGTTTGACATCAGGTTAGGTTCACTACAGTCCCCCCTTTGGAAATCATCGACTGTACATGGGGATGAATTCCAACCGTGAACTTACACCTTCAAATGTCCTTGAGCTTGATGTAATCCAGCAAGGAAGACCAAAGTCAAAAGTAATCCAGCAAGGAAGACCAAAGTCAGAAGTAATCCAGCAAGGAAAACAAAGTCAAGGTAATTCCACAATGTTCTTGGTAATTCCATTGTGTTGATGATAATTCCATAATGTTGTTGGTAATTCCATTGTAGCAATGCTTTAACCCCTTGGAAACAGAGTCTGTAATCCATTGAAAAAGTCATATAATCCACAACGGTAAATCCACAACGATTGGAAGTGTTGATTAATCAGCATACAGAGGGGTACCCTTGGATTGAACTGAAGATGCGGCCACTGGATGAAGAGTGGAGACCAACGTCAGGATTGCAGGTCGCCTCCAGCGAAGGTTGTCTCCAGCGACGTCCAGCCTGTGCCGTTCTGGTTCAATGTGTCATGCAATTATATGGTTTAAGGTGGGCTTATGAAGGGGATTTTACATAAGGCCTTAAACTATATGCA